GCCCCTCGGGCTGTGAGGCCACTGAGGAGGAGGCAGCCGAAGAAAACCAACGAGCTGCCGCACCCCCACAGACTCCCGGGGATCTTTGGTGAGGTCTGGGGCTGGGCTCAGTCTGAGGCCCTGCAGGCTTCCAGCTGAGACAGGCGGGGCAGCAACCAGTGGTGGTAGAGGACCCTCGGGGCCTCAGTATGTTTCAAGCTGATGGCCACTTGCCAGCCACCTTTCCTGACACTATCTTTGCCCTGGGGCACCCAGTGACCAGCCGCTCCAGAGGCTTCTGCCCTGGCTGTTTCTGTCCCCTGGAAGTCCCCTTCCCCTCCTTCCCTGACTCCTCCAGGCCTCTCCCAGGAGCCGCCATCAGAACCAGCTGCCCCTTCCCTGGGCCGTGGCAACCCCTCTTAACCCTTGGTTGTACCCTGGGCACTCTGGAAGATCCTCAGCTGTTTATGCAAAGGTGTCCCCTCAATGTGCCAAGTCTTTTGAGATCAGGGATAGGCCTGAACTGACCGTGTGCTCTTCACTGGGAGTCCACCCTTTGGCTGGCCTTGATATGAGCCCCTAAATCATGTAGAATAGGTGTGTCAGGAGAGGGTAGGCTGGAGGGGTCTCCAGAGGAAAGAAGGAGGCACAGAAGGCTGAGGTTTCAGCTGGGCTGTTTTTCAGAACATCAGAAACCCCTGGCCGAAAGACAATGGCTCTTGGCTGAGTACAGGGCTACTCTACCCACTGGGAGCCATAGAAGGCTCTCGAGCTGGGTCATGGCACAAACAGAACTCCAGCCATGGACTTTGTGCGACAAAATTGTTTCCTGTCTTTTGTTTGACAAGTGTGTTCATCAGGGCATCCCCCACCCTGACGTCCCATGGTAGCTACACAGAGCAGGAACCCCAGAAAAGTCCTTACACTGTCTGTCCCTGCAGATGACATCCATGGCTCCATCGGCCGGCAGGTTTGCCATCGGCACGAGCTCTACGTCAGCTTTCAGGACCTCGGCTGGCTGGTAATTTCTGACATTTCTCCATCTTTCTTTCTTTTTTTTTTTTTTGGTTTGAGTTGGAGTCTCACTCCATGGCACAGGTGGAGTGCAGTGGCATGCTCACGGCTACTGCAGCCTCGACCTGCTGGGTTCAGGCGATCCTTCCACCTCAGCCTTTCAAGTAGCTGGACCTATAGGCGCACACCACCATGCCCAGCTAGTCTTTTATTTATTTATTGTAGAGATGAGGTCTTGCCAAGTTGCCTAGGCTGGTCTTGAACTCGTGGGCTCAGGCAATCCTCTCACCTTGGCCTCCCAAAGTACTGGGATTATAGGCATGGGCCACCATGCCTGACCTCTCCATCTTTCTTAAATCACATTCACTACCTGTAGGTCATAAGGGAATCTGCAGGGAGGAAGCGGAATTATGGATAACTTGACTTTTCTTCTGTATTTTTTATTGTTTTCTAAAGTAAGAATACATTACTGATATAGTGAGAACTTTTTTTTTTTTTGGTAAAAACCAGGAAATGGAGACTGAATCCTCAGCCAACTGAATCCCCAGTGCTGCAACAGGGAAACTGAGGCTGGGGTGGCCGTGCCTCTGTGCATCTGCTGCGACTGCAGCTCCAGGAGGCACAGGTGGGGAGGGCAGGCTGGGAGGAGGATGCAGAGTGTGGATGGGGAGTGAGGGACAGAGCTCGTGCTGGCCTTGTCTGCTGAGGGACCATGGGTGGACCCGGGCCTCGTGGGAGGCTGCCCACGTAGGGGCCGAGGGTGGGTTGGTGGGCCATGAGGTTTAGGAGGGGCAGGGGCAGCTCTGTGCTGTCCCATGACATGTCCCCTGATAGGACTGAGGGGTTCAGGAGGGAGCACGTGGACAAGACTCACCTTCTCCCATGTCCCCAGGACTGGGTCATCGCCCCCCAAGGCTACTCGGCCTATTACTGTGAGGGGGAGTGCTCCTTCCCGCTGGACTCCTGCATGAACGCCACCAACCATGCCATCCTGCAGTCCCTGGTCAGTACTGTGTCATTCTGCCCAAATCTCCAGGGAGGTGGGCTGATGAAAGGGGGCTGGTCCAGCCAGGAGGTCACCTGTTCCATGTCTCAGGGAGGCTTCTCTGCACAGAGTCAGTAATGTCATAACATTCCCACAACTCTGCAGAAACTGGTCCCTCCTATGGCCACACTGGAAACACGGATTCACACACTCCTGAACATGAATACGCCCCACACATACACAAAATAGTCATGTACATGGCCATGTTCTGTGCACTGACACGCACATGTGGGCCACCTGTGCCGCTGTGTGTGGATGTCCAGCAACACAGCACACACACAGACACGCAGGGCTGTGTGGGGACCTGTGTGACCTTCACGCACACGTGCACCCGAGTACTGGCATGTCTGGACGCCCATGACACATCTGCACATGGCGTGGGCGACGTGTGTGTGCATTCCTCCACCTCTGCCACGCTGCAGGCAGGAGAGTCTGGGTTTGGTTCATACCCTTTGACTTGCCCCTGGTTTCTTTCTTGGCTGTTTGTTTTCTCCAGATCTTATGGATTTGATGCCTCGGTGTCTGGGGCAACTTTAAATGATGCCAAAGTTTCCTATGGGAACATTGCTGCTGCTGCTTATTGCTGAGTGTTTTGTATGTTTGTTGATTCTGGTATTGAGACCTCCTTCTAGAACTTTTTTTTTTTTTTTT